TCCCTTACACCTCCCCGACCCCTCTCCGGTTATCCCATAATTTTTTCATATGAAGCTCAACCTTTTATTTTTAAATGAATTGGCAAAGGTTGGCAAACAGCTTTAGCAAGTTTGTGACAGGTAGAAATCTACTAGTAAAGCTCAAGATTTCCCAGGATCTCCATGCTTATGAAAGCTTCGTCTGTGTTTTCCTTCTCCTCTGCAGCTGGAATGGGCACCGAGCCAAAAGTAAATCTTTGTCTAGTGTTGCGCAACACAACAGCTGATCAGGAATTCCCATCACATCCAGTGATAAGGCCTAAGGGTGAAGTAGGAAGCTTTTTCAGAGGGGGAGGTGCATCACCCCCCCTTCCTGGAATTGAGTTGTACGATTGAGTTGGGTACACCCATCGTGCTAAGCCAGGTTGGGTTAACCATGGCTTGTTGAACAAACCACCATTAGTGGGTTTCCTACCATACCCCGCGGCCAGCCTCAAAGCAGTTTATGCCCTCTATCTGGACCTAGCTGGAATGTCTCCCTTAAAAATCCCTTTAAATTTAAATTCATTTAAAATGGCTTTAAATGGCTGCAACGCTTTTGTGGGTCTGCACTTGGCTGAAGCAAGAACAATGCCTTTCTGAAGCCAGCTTTCAAAAGAGGAGGGGGCCATGCAATTAAATAAATAAAGTGACAGGGTCAGCGATAGGAGTACAGATTTAGACGAAAGCCTTGGCATCTCCAAGTCCAGTTGGAAAAATATTATTATTGCAGCTTGGAACTAGGGTATTTATGCCCAAAGATACTGTGTGAAAGCCAACTGTGTTGTATTCAACTCAACATGGTTTAGCATGGTTTGCAAACCCAGATTTGCCTCCACTCTCTCCCACTTGACAGCTATCCACCAAACCCCTTCGATTCAATTTTGCATCACCATGAAGGGGACGTCCCTCCCAGGGTTATTGTAATTCATGCAAGTTCTTATATGAGGAACCCTTTGAACGGTCCTGCGTGTGGGTATCTGGTGTTTGTCTTTTAAATGTTTAAGCGTGCAATACCAAAACTAAGTTCTCGCTTTGTTCTGGCAAAATACAGCATTTTGCATTCAATCCCCATTGCTGAATAACATATAATTTTGGGGAGCCAGTGAATGGAATGTGTTTCAATTAGAAAATTTCAAACCAAGAAAAATGAGATGAATGCCTTATTTGAGTTTTCAGACAATACCCACAAACGGGTTGCTTCCCAGCACAGGCGTAGGCCCAGAATCCTCATCCTAGTAGGAATGGTTTCCAAAGAGGAATGATTATTCTCATCGCACGGAGGACAGAAGTTCAAAAGACAAAGCTTTTTTTCACACCTGTGCAGAAACACAGGGGTGTGTTTCATTTGCCAGCTGCGCGGTTGCTAAGGCCAAAACAGAACGTGGTGGGAAGTAGCCAGATGTGAAGGAGTCCAACAAGCTAAGACCTTCTCTTCCAACCAACCTCAACTTTGTATTCTGCCAAGCAGAACTTCCCCCGGGATGAAAAGGCCTCTAGTGTCGGGCCTGTTGGCTTTCCCTTTTAAATTCAGCCCTTGGGGAAGACTGGCAAGGCTGCAGTGGCCCTGCAAAGGGAGGGTGCCATTCTGTGGTGCCCGCTGGCCTTGGGTACCCCAAATATGAAGTAGGAACCTGGATGGAAGCAATGCCTTTGGACCTCAAGAGTTCCCCTGGGATGGTAGAGAACTTCAAGGGGCAGTTTGCCAACTGGAATATGGGTGTTTTGTGACTGGCCAAGGCCACCATGTGTACATCTCCTCTGGTAGCCATTTGGTGATAGTCTGTCTCCCTGGTAGCCATTTTGGGAGTGCACCCACAATATGCTTTCTCATTTTAACATGTGTCCCAGATTCAAACCATTGTCCTAGCCATGTTGGAGGAGTGCAACTTGTTCAGCAGGTGCCTATTAATATAACTGCCAACCTTTTTCCAAGCCCTGTAGAAGATTTATAATATTTTACGAACTCAAGGTGCTGCATTAATATTTACATCAGTCACGTTGTCCATTCCATACCTTCTGGAGGTAATTCAGGACTGGTTCAAAACCATCTGCCATTCTTCGATGTCGACAGACAAGTCTTCTCCATCAGCTAAGACTGAAGTGGAGACATCCCTTCCAAGCAGAGGAGCAACCACGAGGGATCAAAAAAATCAAGGTGGGCTCCAGGACCATGAGATCAAAGGCCTGCCCCTTTGGGTGAGCAAGACATGTGAAAAGGGGTGAGCCTTTGATTGCAAGGTTGCAGGTGCTGTCTTGACCCCTCCCACAGGCACCCCAGCCCCAACCTTATCCTAGCTTAGCTGAGCAATTGATGATTGATTATGTGCTATCAAGGCAGTCTCGACTGTTAGCGATCACATGGACAGATTTTCTCCAGGATGATCTGTCCCCAGCCTGATCTTTCAGACCTTCCAGTGGTGCCCCCATTGCCACTGTAATTGACCTTGCTGATGGTCCTCCTCTTCTTCTCTTTCCCTCCACCTTTCCCAGCCTATGAGCCTTCTCCAGAGAGCTGCGTCTTCACCCCATGTGGTATTGCAACCCCTTAAAAAGATAAATGAGCTGGTGTGATACCTCTCTCCCCCTTAATGACGCTCAGAATTTCACAGGGGTTAAGGTCGGGCAAGAAGTAAATCTCCCTCTTTATTTTAATCATTTCCCTCTGTGCATCAGTGAGGTTCTCAAAATTGCCATCGTGCTTGTGCAAGCAAGAGGAGGACCCAGGCCCAGAGTAAGCCTTAACAAGATTCCTGCTTTGTCTGCAGAACCCTGATCGGGTTTAAAAAAACACACAAAACCTCACAGTTGCTCAGACGCTCCTGGGGTCCCACCGCACCCCACTTGTTCCAGCTCCTGGTAGAACAAGTAGTGCAGATCCTGCCCTTTTCCCATCGAAGGGCAGGAAATGAAGGTGGCATTCAGGACCGTGAGATCCAAGGCCTGCCCTTGTGCTGTGCCATGCCTGTAAAAAGGGGTGAGCGTTCCCGAGTGCTTTTTCCATTCTGAAGGACAGGGGTTGAAATTGTCAGCTGCCCTTCCTCAACCTGGCCCCTTGGAGAACTACAGCCTCCATCACCCATCTCCTGGCTGGCAGGTTGGCCGGCCGATGAAGAGAACAGTCTTCTGGCATCTCTCCATGTAGCTATAGGGACCGACCCAAAGATGAAATGCAGGTATCGAATCCAACCGGAGCCAGGCCAGCCTCTCCAGCTGCAAAGCTTCCTGCGTGGCAGTCCATGCTGGGGAGGCGTGGCCCTCCCCCAGTTTAATCCAGCACCCGTTTGATCAGCAGAGAACAGAGTGGGCCGCGCTATCCTTGGGTGCATTAAGTTGGTTCCCATGGCAAAGCAGAGCCTGGGTTGCTCCCCCCCCCCACAGCCACCCCCCTCCCTTGCCCTCTATCTTTCTCTGCTTCCCTCCCAACCAACCCTTTTTCTCCTGCCCTGGATGACGCTTCGCTTGCCATAGTCGGAGCAGCCGCCGAGCTGGGGAAGAGGCAGCGCACCTGCTAGGGAATAACCGAGCAACTATTTATGTATTTCGGCAAGCGAGGAGGACAGGAGGCATCAGCCGGGGAGACGAGCGAGAGAGCAGCCCGCAGGGGAGGCTTGGCGCATTCCTCCCCCTTTCAGGAACCAGCCGTCCTTCCCTCATTGTGACAGAGGTATCACAATACGCCCAGGAGCGCCACTCTCGATCCAGGAGGTGAATCGGCGTTGTTCTCGGACGACAAGCCCACCCCGGGAACCGTATGCTGCAGATGGTCAGGACGCTTGCCCAGTTCACCATCGCATTGGAAGACATGCGAGAACTTGGGGAGGCGGCCGACCCCACTGGGTTGAACCCCCCTTCCTCGGTCGGGGGGAACGCCGAGGAGGGCCCAGAGAAGACCCCCGGAGCCAACTGCAGCAATAGAAGTAGCCCCGTCAGGAACGGCACGGCTGAGGTGACCGCCGCTTTTTGGGGCAGGGAGGAAGGGCAGGAGAAGGGCTTCTGGGCATCGTGTTCTTGGGAAACCGTGGGGCTGCTAAGAGGGTTTCCCAGCCCGGAGAGGAGGGGTGGCTGTCTGTGGGCGGGGGTCCCTTGAAGGCGGCCCACCCACCTGCATGGTGGGCGTCCGATGGGCAGTCGGTGCGGCTCAAATGGGGGCGTGCAGAATCTCCCAGGTGGAGGGCACCCTGGCCGTGCCAGGGATGTGCCAGCGCTGTTGGTCCCCCTCTGCCCTCCACAATGCAACAGGATGGTTGGATCGTCCTGAGGGGGACCAGGAAGGGGTGGATCAGGGCTACAGTGGCAAGGAAGACCATGGCAGGAACCCGTGGGTGGTTGGTGGCCTGTGGTGGCCTTGCCCTGCCATGCCATCTCAGGAGGATGTGGCTTTAGGCTCCGTCAGGAGGAGGGGCTCCCTGAGGCTCCAAGCTACAGGTGCCCGAAATGCCTCCATGTTCAGCCGATCTCTCCCTGATGATGAACCTTTCTAGTCAGTGCCAGATGAATGTTTTGTCCATCAAGGAGTCTGAGCATCACCCCAAGCATCTTTTGTTCCAGTTCAATGGAAGCGTGCTATCTATGATACCCTGTTGTCTTTGCCACACCGTTGAGAAGGGCTCCTAATTCCTCTTACCCTGATGAGATCGTTGTTTTTTTTTAACTGGCCAGGCTGTAGAAAGCCACCCCTTTCCAGCTTCCTCCATGGTTTCCCCATCTCGGCACCTCTTCGCCAACGTTTTTCTTCCATCACCAACTGAAATGGGGCATTGGGATAAGGAAGGCTGGGCAGAATACTTGGGCCGGTTTCAAAATACCCAGATTAAGGAATGATGCCAAGCCAGCACGTTTCCATGAGCCGGGCCCCTAAACCTTTTCTTCTGGCTGTCAGAATTTGAGAATCGGGGCCGATTTGGGTGAACACCCCTAGAAGGGTTTCTTTTAAGGGCCCCCTTTCCAGGGCAGACTCAGCCCCTGGTCTTTTGCTAGAGATGCGAGAAAGGGCAGATGAGGAGTGGATTAATTTTAGCATGCCAGTGGGAAGGCATCACCAGAGCCATACGGCTGTGCATGTTTGACTTGGGGCAGTGAGCATTTTGGAGTTGAATTGCAACATCTCCTCTTTGTCCAACCCGAACCGGGCCTTAATTCGGCAGTGTAGATGAACTAAGCAGTGGGTTCATTCCTTCACTTCTGGGTGCCAGGTACAGAAAGACAAAGGGGAGGAATGGGTGAGATGTTCTGCAAATCCGCTTCCTGGAAATATCTCACCATCGGATAAGATCCTGGAGTGGTGGCCTGGCTGTTCTTTGTGGTTTTACCAGGGAATCTCGCCTTAATAATGTAAAGTATGTGCTGGCTTGCTGGAGAAACTCTAACCCAGTGTTTCTCAACCTTGGCAACTTTAAGATGGGTGGACTTCAACTCCCAGAATTCCCCGGCTAGCCACCCCACCTCTGTCTCTTGGGGATGTCAGGCCAGTGGGAGAGTCACCTCCATTTTTAAAATTACCTCTTTAATTTCATCCTGCAATGTGAAGGCTGCATCCCAGGAGACTACAGTACTTGTTAAAGGAAACAACAAAAAAAAAGGGGGTGTTCTCCTCTTAAAATCTGGAGGAAGTGCTCTACAGAATAGAGATAAACGAATGGGGCTATTTTATTCTGTTAACTTTTTGGCATGTTTTACTTGCTGTGTTTGATTGATGCAATAGTCTACAGGCATGTTCCTGAAGTTACAGGTC